GGAGAGATACGCGTACGTTTTTTGCTGGAAGGTGCCCGTAGGTGGTTGCTTTAAAAGGAAAGCTACCGAAAAAAAAGAAGAAAAACACCTTTTTGTTGGGCTTCCTTTACTTTAATATACACCTATCATCGTACCGGTCTTTGCCAGTCTCATGATCACTCGCCAGCGCCAGCTACTCATGAGAGGCCGCTGAATGGCAAATGGGTTCCTTTCGGATGCGTCCAACACATGGCTGTCAATCGGTGCAGGCTGCAATACGTTTATTAGAATCCGCTAAGCTGGTCCCATGACATGCGCCCGACCCTCTGTCCGTGCAGCACTTCTGGAAGTGGTCCAGGCGGCCCCCCAGGATCACAGAGTTCTGGCGGTCAGGGGAGATCGTCTTGGGCTTGGCACACAACCACCCCAGGGTTTAAGTGTACTTTCGGGACAAAAAATGGATTCTGCTAATTGAGCATTGAAGATTCACAAGACACCTTCTTTCGGGTTGGAGGAACCTCCAAGCTCCTCAAATCCATGGCCAGGGGAAGTCTTCTCAAGTTTTCCCATTGCAGAATGTCGCAGCGTCAGAGGTATGCGAGCCAATGTGACAAGCTGACAATAGGCTGACTCATTGACGCTCTGACAAAAACTAGTGGGCGATTGGCCCGAAAGCCTTGTTTAGTGGGCGATTGGCCCGAAAGCATTGCCCAATGTTTTCAGGGCATTGTTCACCACACCCCCCCCCCCGGCCAGGATGTCTCGCGCGCACGCACGAAAGCCATCGCAGGACTTTGCCCTGCGAGCCAATTACGCTCCGCAAGTTGCTCTGTGCAAGTTGCTCCGCGCAAGCTGCTCTGTGCAAGTTGCCTTGCGCAAGCTGCGTAAAGGGTAGCGCAGACATGTGAAAGAAGTTGCAAAGGTCTGCAGTTTTTCACATCGATCGCAGGCTTGCGCGTGGTCGACTGGAAAAGTAGCCAAGACCTCGAACTGCTTACCTCGGACCCGCAAACGGAGAAGGCAGCAAGAACCTTGAGCTTGTGACGCAACGACCATGCCGAGCCACGCAGGGGGCTGCATTCCCGAGCAGCGCCGACGGTCTCACTCCGCTCCTCAGAAAGCTAAGCTTAAACAGAAGGCAAGTTCTCTGAGCGAGTTCTCCGAGCAACTTCTCTGAGCAAGTCCTCTGCGAAAGCTTCTCTCTGCAAGCTCTCTTTGAGCAAGTTCCCTGAGCAAGTCCCTCTGAACATGTTTCTCTAAGGAACTCTCTGAGCAAGTTTCTTTGTGCAAGTTCTCTAAGCAAGTTCGCTGAGCAAGCAGCTCTGTGTGGAAGAGCCCTGCATGGGAAAGCAAACATTTTAACGTTGACCCCCCGGATGAATAAACCTACAGTATCTATTAATATTCGGGGGTGGGGGTTGTCCAGGTTTTTGTGGGGTGTCATCACGTTGAGAGACAATACCCACACATCATATGAATCTATAAGGGCTTCTTGATCCGGCTCAATGTTTCGCGCCATTCGGAACAAGCACCACGCCAAGCCTTTGCTGCTTGCAGGTTTCCGGTCCGTGCTTGCCTCCATCGCATGCTGCCTCATCTGCTGGCTGCGTTGCTCGCCCTGGCCAGAAGTGTGAGCTACAAAAAGGCCGCAACAACTCACTTAGGGGGGTCTGACATTGTGGTCCCTACATGTTGATCTCCTTTTGGTTTCCCTTTAAATACCAACCAAAGAAAGGTCCACCATGTTAAGATAAACACTCAGTTGTGTTGCCAGGCTCACGTGAGGATGCTGATTCTTTGGGAGGTGCGCATCTGTCCTCATGCTCCTCGTAACTATGGAGACAAACAGCAAATTCTGCTAATGCCCAGTTCCACACATGTTGCAGAACAAGCACCCATGCCAACCACCAGACCACGTCAGGAAACGGCAAAGGCCCACTAAGGCCAAGTAATTACACAGAAAATAAGCAACTGCGCCCAGCGATGGATTTTGGCGTGCTTCTGCTTCAAACATGTGCCCTGCGCGTGTGTGACTGGCAACTGCAATGCAGAACGTAGAGTTATGCCGCGACCAAGTTCTAGATTCTACATCCACATCTGTTGTTTAACTTCTTTAACAAAACCAGACTGATTTCCTTGCCTAGGTGGCCTTTTGAAAAAATGGATGGCCCTGGTAAATGGAATAAAACCTAAATGGAATAAACACCATCTTAACCAGTGGCACTCATCTATTTTTCCACCAAACCGATCAAAAGGACACCTATGTGGCTGTGGGTCAAAACCAATAGTACCATTTTGGGGTAGGCGCACCACTCATGTTAGTCTATTTTAGTGGTTAGATTCGGATGTTCACTGGGGGTACGATTTGGATTTTGACCCATGGCCATGTTTCCTTGCACGTGGCTTCTCCAAGCTCAAACTTTCACCTGGCGCGAGACCCGGGAGGTGCGCTCGTGCAAGCGCTGCTCCTCGCTGGGTTTGGACATTCGATGGATGGAAGCGGTGAAGGTGCCGGTTCAAAAGGACTATCTTCCGAAGCCCTGCCCTCTTGTCCAATTTTGGAAAACGGGTGAGGCTGTTTCTCAAAGGGGACCGCTGCGAAATGACGGATTTCCTTTTCACCTCGATTGACAAAAACGGGTATCCTCAAAGGGTGGTCTGATTTCACCGCGCAGGGCCAAGTAAATGGGTGGCTTTGGGCCACATTTTCTTGGGTGTTTTGCCGGCACATCTGACACGCAACAAAGTCACCGTTGTCATTACGCAGGTCTGGATGGCCAATTGGCTAAATAACCTACATTGCCGTAGTCACAAGGATAACCCTTCCAGTGATATCTGGAACCTGTGATTGAGTGCACCCATCTATCCATCACGACACTATGCTGCCAGGATACTCCACCACAACTCTATGCTGCTTGGATGAGATGGCTCGAATACGACCAAAGCATCGGGACGCTCACAGGTTGTCAGTGATCGTAAAGAAACAACGACCTTCACCATTCGAAATCTATTCAGAAATCCGAGGCCTCACCGGGCTCGCCAAGTCCTTCCTTTCATACCAGCCGTCCTGCTTTTCACCGCACTAGAATGCAAGCACCTTGGCCCCTTTCTTCAGGCAGGCTTTGAATGAGCCGGCATTTGCATGCCGTGGGTTCTGTCCTGGCAACTGAAACAAGCAGCCTGTGACCATGTCGCCCTTTCGAAAGGGTGCCCAGAAGCACCGGCCATGTACTCATCCCTTGCCGCATGCTCTCCTAGGTCCTCCAGCCTTGGAGGTTCGAATAAGGGTACCCTTTTTTTGGCTGTAGTCTATTTTAGTAGGGGAACCCTCCCCCAAAAAAGAAACGGTAAAAGGGCAGCTAGCTGGGGGACCTAGTCTCTCTAACGGCATCTATAAATAGGGGTCACAATGTAACACAAGCAATCTTACCCCAAGGCAACACTGAGGAAGGGAAGGAGCAAATACCCCACGGACGTCTCAAATGAGAATCACGGCTGAACGTTACCTTCGGATTCATCCGGACGATGCCAATCCCAGGAATCAACTGACTTGATTATCCCGTCCCTTTCAGGAGTCGGCAACCAACGACAAAATCCACGATGAAGTCGAACACATAGCCGCACCCCACCACCCCCCCGCTCCAAGTCATGCAAGGCGGAGTTTGCGTGCTCCGTGCGCTCTTGGAGGTGGCACTGGGCGGTTTGCGGCACGAGCCATGACCCCACATCCTCCAGAAAACTTCCACAAAGGAATTGGCGCACATGGTTGTTGATTTAGGGAAACCCTCCCCGCCCAAAAAACAAAACACAACACACGCCACGGGGCAGGGGAGCACTGGAAAACCACGGTAGAGCAAGGCAGCAATGAACGATGCTGGCCAGTGGCTTTGAGCGGAAATAGAAACACTATTGGAGATATGCCAATGCCCTGAAGATGCATGTCAAAAGAATATGCCCAGGGCTAGAGCCACAGTCTGCACTTCCTATGCTTAACATGGTTCTTTTCACATAGACAAAGAAGTCAGCCAGACGCCTCGAGCACGGCATCTACAGCAAAACCCAACGAGATCAATATTTCAATATAGACAGGTTGTGTTTGTAGTCCAGCTCTTGTTTCCTTGGCGTTTGAACAGGCGTGCAATCTTTCGATGTCTTGTCGCTTCAAGCTCAGAAAAATGGGCCTCATTTTTTTTGGGGGGGGGCTCCCCACATTGATGGTGTGCCCTTGGGTTTCCCTGTAGAACCAGGCAACAAGGGGTACCAACTCCAAAAGACAGCCGCATGCATCTGGATCCCGGTTTCAACTCCAAAAGGAGCCCAAGCATGGAGCGTGTCTTGTTGCTTTTTTGAGCGCACCAAAAATGTGTTCTTTTGGTTTCCCTATTCTCACTTCCTGAGTGGGTCGGTCAGAAAAGCACCAACTTTTTGCCACCAAGATGGTCTACCCAACACGTTTAAAGCTCGGAAACCCAGGAAGTTGGTATTTCAACGCCGACCGCAAAAAAGGGTTCCACAAAAAAAGGGGCAACCACAGACACATTTCTCCGAAAACAAAGCCTATCGCCTGCAGGTCTTGGATCTTCAGGGAGAGCTTGTAGCACTGGTCCTGGAACCCGAGAGCAAAAGGGCCAGCAACCGGGTGCGTGGTTTTTTCCCATCTTTTTCCCCGCCGGCGTGTCAAACCTTTGCGGCGAGAAAGGGCTGCGAAGCTGGTCCCATGATTTTGACTCGCACAACCCTGGGCGCCCATAGCCACCAATCCAGCCATCCAGCCAGCCAGCCAGCCATCCCAAACCCGAACTGAATCACCGGAGACCTTCCCCCGCTACAACTCGCCCAGTGAAGATTGTGATGCAGAGCAAACACGGAAACGAACCAAAAAAGACCACCGAAAACCGGCATGGGATCTTTCGGCCCCCAAAAAAGAACTCAGAATGCAAGGGACAATGTTCTTCGGTCAGTTTCAGGCAGCTGGGTCGGACACGAAAACAAAAACAAAACAAACAACACGAGCGAAACAAAACAAAAAACAAAAAAAAAAAAACGGGGGGGGGGGAAGAAAAAAACATTAAAACACACACACACACACACACACACAAAAAACAAACAAAACATGTTGGCTCCAAAAAACCGGACAAAACAAATCAAAACGCACGTTTTTTTTTCCAGGCCCGCCGGCCTGGACTCTTGCCGCCCGCATCCGGGCACGCTCTGCCTGGCCCTCGTAGGCTGCCTGACTTCTCAGCTCCTGACGCGATTCGTCCGAAAAGGGGCACGCCCCTGAGGCTCGTCCTTTTTCCAGTAAAACATCGAGTGGTTGATTCCCCTTCCATTCTTCTCAACCATCGGTTTGTTTCCTCAAAAACAAGCCATTTCCCTAGTGTTTTGGGTGGTTTTCTAGAAGGAAGGATCCCTGGAAAGAATAAAAATGGAAGGTACCCCTAGAAAAAAGGGACCCCTTGTCCACTTTAGAACCCACCAGAGCAAGGGCCCTCTGAGGAACATCGTCTTGGACTCCTCAAACAGCCCCCCCCCCCCCCCCCGAATTGGTGAGCTCGTGAGCTCGCCCAAACGTATGTACCCAGTAAACGCTAAGCTATGGCAATATATCAACATGATGGTACCAATGCACCAAACACATGTATGCATGAAACGCAAGAGTGATTCCTGTAACTATAGCCATCATGGGTAGAAAAGCTAGGGCTTGTGATGATGGTCAGTTGATGCCGGGCACGGTCCTTGCACTCACATGCCCAATCACTTTCCAGCTGACATCTAATTTGAAATTGGGTGTCGGCCCAAAATCGTCGTAGCCATCTGCGATGAACGCAACATAGCATGACATCTGCTCTGAAACTATTAGTGTCGTGGGTTCATGATAGATCGAAGCAAACAGAAGCACATGTCATACCTGGATCACAGCAGTTGAAGCAATGCCCTTTGGAGTCACAGTCAACACCTGGTTGTGAGTACTCTAACTACCCAAGACCATGTCACGGCTCCAAGGACGGATATCTACCGCTACTGGTTTGAAGAGTTGGGGAGACTTACTATCTCTTATTTACCCAGGTTCGGATTGGGACATTCTGCACCAAGGAGAGTCCGCTTAGTAACAAACGTCCGTAGGAATCCGACAGAACCTTGACTTAGCAGTGCTCCCGTCCAAACTGGCTCAGAGTCACTCCAGGGCTCGATTCTGTGTCCCTTTTGAACATCCCCACGTCAAGAATAAACTCATATCATATTTGAGAATGGTGCTCGATTCATTGAAGGAAAACCAGATGGACCCCAGGCCCAAAAAATCTCTAAGAGGGATCTACAGTAGGTCTGTGATTCTTCAGAATACCCTTTTCAGATTGGTCTACCGGGAAGCCGTTTTGGGAAAGCTGGTTGTCCTCCGTCCAAGTCAACCTATGACTTCCATTTGGTCAAGACCCCTGGAAAAGATACAACATATTTCCAGTAGTGATAGATTCCCTTTAAAGCCAACAGGGGAAAATAGACAATATTCTTAAGCAAATGGAAGATGACCATGGGATTTCAGCGCCTGATGCACGCGGGTCTTGCAGTTGAAGGCTTGCTCTCGGAGGGCTTTGTCCAACTGCGCCTTCGAGACATGCGGACACCGAGTCACCGAGTGAGCGAGTCATGGGGATTTGATACGGTGTGTCTGAAAATAGGCAGATGCGACTCTTGATTTGTTGTTAGCTTTTGACATTTGGTGAACCCCTTGAGGCGAGAAGGATCCTGAAATTACATGACAAATCCAAAAAGAGGATTGCGGATAGGTTGTTGCGTTCCACGTTCATCTCCAGATGGTCTGCAAAGAACCGAGTCGGACATGTGCCATGGTAAAAAACTCCGAAGATATTCGGTCATAGATGGTTTCCAAAATTATCTTAAGGGTGTATGAGCATCCCCAGCTGAAGGGGTGTTTTGATGATGGTATCAACGGGCCATAAGCATCTTGCATCAAGTCAGGCTGAAATCCTAATTTCCCATTCATCGCTCCCTGCTGCAGAAGCCCATTTAGGTCATAATCAGCAACCTGGCATTAAAACGGTCGTGGCATTAAAATGGTCGACCATGTCCACCCAAAACCATGCAAAGAATTCAAAGGTACATGGTTGGGATTCTCCCTGACAAACCTTCACTTACCTTCCATTTGCTTAAGTCTCCTGGACAAGAATAACACATATTGCCAGTCGTATTGGATTCCGGCTTTGAGTGTGGCGCAGTTCGATCATCAGGCTTCTTCCAGTAGCTCTCTCCCTTGGCGCCTGAAAAACCGGGTTTCCCTATTGGAATATCTATGTAGTATGTATATTCTTTGTATAATGAGTATTGAATATCTAATATGTCATGTATGTGTTATTTATGAACACCTGGAGTAACAGTAAGTTTAGGCTCACTGCCGCAAAACTCTGAACTGTTATACATTCATGTACCGCTGAAATACTTGCTACCAACATATTAAAGTCAAGGAACTCGGGGAGTAAGTAGGTCCTGGGGGCAATGAAATCTGCGAAATTTGATAGGGAACCTTCTTCATGGTTGGGCATCACTCTCCGTGCGCGCCTTGGCATCCTTGGCCTCCTGTGTCAGGGCCTCAAACCGGGGCTGAAGTGGCTCTGGGCTGGCTGGGATCTATGGCAACGGCAACGGCTCCAACTTTTGGCCGAAAGGGCGCTTCCACCAGTGGGGCCCCTTCATGCAGCAAGAATCTGGCGCCTAAAAAAAAAGAAGGTGTTCTTTGTGGGGCGTCTGAAATCCATGCTGAGGGGCTCCTCATGAACCCAACCTGGCCATAACCACGCCTGCTGCTCGCTCCGTGGCCCTGGCCCTCTGTAGCCTCATGGACTCGGCGGCAGCTTCATCCACCTCTGACGAACGTCTCTGACATGGGCAAAGGACATACGGGTGTGCCTTGGTCGAGGGAACCGCAACCCCGCCAAGAAAAAAAGAAAGAGAGCATGGCGCAATGGCTTTCCATTTTGTGGGGGGTCTTCGAAAGAACGCCCAAGCTGGCGCAACGCCTTTGTTGTTGGATTTAACCGTTGAAACCATCAATTCAGGGGGCACCAACTCCGGAAAAAAAGAAAAGGAAAAAAAGCCGGAAACAAATGCAAGCGTGAGAAAACAGAAGCAACTTCTGAATGCTTGATTCATAGTGTGATTTCAGTAACGCTTTTGGGATGGCTCAACAGTGGTTCCTAAAACAAAACACTTGCACATCACCCCCAACCTGGTTTTCGGTTTCCTGGTGAAAGAGGTCAAATGCCTCAAAAGCCCGTGTCGGAGGCCAATTGGGCTCATCTTTCTCGAGCCCTCCTGTCCACCTCTACCGTTCAGGGGCCTTCAGACGCTCCTCCTTCACCTTCTCTGCTACCCGCCGCTCCACCCGGACCTTCTCCTGCTCGAGATGTTTTGTGTGATTTCTGTTGTTCTCGGGGTTGATTCCTTGTCCATTCTTTTCAACCATCATTCTTTTCAAAAACCGGATCTGTTTCCCCTGGACTTCTGATGGTCTTCTGAAAAGAAGGATCCCTTGAAAGAATGGGGCTAGATTTGTGTGTGTGTGTGTTTTGCGGGCATTGTACCATTCATGTTTGGGATTTATTCGAGGACCGTCTTTTTGGGCTCCACGTGGAGGTGCTTCTTTAGGTTACCCTTTTCAGCTTGGCTTAAAAGGGAAACCAACAAGCAACAAAATCCCTTGTTGAAGTCCAAACCCCGTATTTCGACACATCCCCGGTAAAGCATGTTCGACCGCGCACTCCAGAAGCTGCAAGCCAGATGCTGCCTGTTCGGCAAATTCACAGAAGGAACAACAGCAAGCCCCCTCAAGTCAAAAGGATCGAGCTTCCTTTCAAGCAACAAGAGTAGATTCCTCTCCCTCTCGCAAAATGCTGAAGGACATTTCTCTCAAAAAAACATGCACACGTACATTCCTCTTCAAAACAAAGCAATGAATTTGATGGTTGGTTGGGTTCATAGGTTCCTTGCGTTCGTCTGCAGCCCTGAGAGCAGTCCTGCTCCTTCTCAGAGAGGAGTTGAATGAGTTCCTGGACGGAGGCAGCACTTCACCTCTTAAGCAAGTATATCCTGCACCGCTAGCCCGGTCACCAGCTGGGAGGTAGGTGAACATGCTGCAGTGAGGATCTCCCTTGTTGCGGGCGCCATTTGTCACCGTGACAACTCTGGCTCTGCGCTTTCCGGGATCCCGGCCGAGACATGAGCGTTCATGGCCTTAGAAAAGCACTGCCTGTGCATTGTGGCTGCTGTCATCAGGCACAGTCTTCCAGATATGCTGGTTTCCAACAAAGTGCATTCCACCTGGTTTACCCGCGCTGTCACTATCCTCACAAAGAGTTCATCGGCAAGCGTGGCCCAACAACTTATTGGGCATCAGCGCAACACGCGCCCCTTTTGTCTCGGAGCTTTCCACTGTTCACCGCTCCAGGGACAGAGGCCGTGTCACTTGAGGTACGGCATATCGCTTACAATGAGACCGAGTTACTTGCACGCTGCGCTGAGCTCCATTGCTCAAGGTACTCAAGCCTGGCTGTGCCCGCAGCCGTTTGCCTCAGATCAACGGTCCAAGAGCGGTCACGCATTTGGTGTCGGACGTCACGCTGCACTCTGTTGGCTGCACGGCCTTGGGTCCCTCGGCCGAGACTGCGTGGTTCGGTTCCTACCTGTCAACGCGCAGGATCCTCACGTTTTGGCGGAACCACTTCCCTGATTGTTTTCAGGTGCTTTCGCGCCTAGAAAACCCCTCCAAACGTGCTGGTGAGACGCTAGACATGTTCACTTTAAGGGAACCAGGCAAATGACCCAGCAACTGATGCGGATCCTGAAGCCGTTGAATGGCTCGCACGCTTCCAGCCGAGCTGCTGGGCTGTTCTTGAGCAGACGAAGCAGCCTCTGTGGATTGCAAACTCAAGCAACTGATTGCAGATGTCCCAAGAAAGAATCTGTAGAAAGCTGAGAAAGGGTCGCCGATGGACAAGTTTAGTCTCATTTGAAGGGCACCTTCGAAGGGCTTGTGCAATTCAAAAACACTTTGCTGTACACAAGCTTCTGAATTGCTGGAAAGTCTATCCTTTTCGCCTTCCAGTGGTTTGTACGTAGAACTTGCAAACACCCAGGGCAAACAACTCTGTGAAAAGCAAATGGTGATTCGTGGGTGGATCAAATCTTTGCGGTGAGCCAGCGCTTGCCTGACGCACACAAATCTGCGCACATTCCCGCGGACGGCATCAAGAGGTGGCATCCCCATAGGTTTCTTCAACCATCTAAAAGGGGCACCCCAAGCTATGGACACACAGTGTGTGCAGTGCCTGCATCCATTCGCTTTCCAGGTTGGACGTTGGGGCCATTGGGCACATTGGCGGTAGATCTGAGCCATCGACAAGTGAGACTGGTTCACCTAACCCGACCATGACATGTGTGATGTTTGTTAGGGGACCCTTTGGCGGGAACCATTGAGGTGGGGATTCATGTCTACCAACCGCTTGTGAGGTGGTTGCAGCATTAATATTCATAGTGCCATGGTTGCTTTCATTCCTGACCGTTCTACCTACCGGCGCGAGTGCAGTTCTCTGATTTCATTACCTAGGTCCTCCAGTAGAGAGGTTACAATCAGGGTACCCGTTGTTTTTCTTCTCTAGTCGTTTTTAGTAGGGTCCCGAACCCTCCCAACCAAAAAAGGGGTGAGAGGTCGGGCACCGATCGCTGGGGGACCTACTGCATGTCGTGCAACCTCACTTGCCACCACGGAGGCCGTGCAGCCTCCTTGGGGACACTGTTGCAACCTTCTTAGCACGGGTGCGCCTGAGAATCGGGGGTCGGGACCTCACCAAAATGAGTGGAAAGCTTATTTTTCGGTTTTCCTTGAAACCAACCGACCAAAAAGGGTATGCCAACCAGCCAAAAAGGGTACCAACTCAAGTTCAGGATTTTCACACCCATTCAGCGACAGCAGGGGAGCCAATGGGAAGGTTGCATGGAGAAAGCTGTCGAGAGCCCAAATTTGGGTATGAGTCAAAATTAAACCGCCAGGAATTGGACCGCAGGTTTTAGTCTATGTTTCCATTTACCAGGGTTCTATTTTGGGTACCTATTTTTGACCCATACCCATTTGACCTGATTCGGACATGCCATGGAAGTGTGAGGCATTCAGATTGAGATTTTGGCAATTGCCACAACATGGCCGATGCTGGGGATGCTGCTGCAGACTCAAACTGTGTCTTTTTCCCTTGCAACCATCCTAGCTGATAGTTTGGGGATGCTGAGAATGCCAGCCACGCATCGAATGCAATGAGTGTTGGGATGGGACTTCAAACATGTCTGTGCATGCGTGTTGCAAGTCTGAAATCGCGAGACTTGACACCTGTCCGCCATCAAGTGGGAAGCATGTGAAGACGAGTACCCCTAGTAGGTAGCACTTGCTGATGCGCAATGATCTATGATGGTCTGTAAGCCGTGCTTCACAGCATGTTGCCGTGCAAGTCACGTTGCAACTCTTGAGCTAGACGGATTCAATGTGCAACCCGAACAATGCCAGCTTGCCAACCTCGCTCTTGTTTTCGAGAACAACGGGTATCTTCTGGCGCTTGGTTCGCCCTGCCCCGTTTGGGGTGCCGCGGGACTATACCCTGGAAAAGCCTAGGAAGTAAGGGTACTCTGCGCTCCCTGCGAAGAATAGAGCACCGAAAACAATGCAATAAGACAGAAACCAGGTGACAGCGATGGCTGTTTTGGCCATGGCGATCGCAACGCTACCCCTCTGTTGCAAGCATTTGTCCGTACGCTTGAAGGCGAAAACCAGAACCTCAGACGTTCAGTGGATTCCCGTTGGCAATCTTTTGTTGGTTGATTTTCAGGCGAATCGCCCTCCAAAAACACAAATGCAAAGAGGAAGCAGACCACTGAAGTGGTGGATATCTGTGGTCAAACTAGACCACACATGCTGGCTTTTCCCCAAGAAAAGGACAGTTGTTCCCTTTTAAGAAGGGCATACGCAAAGAGAACCACTTAATAGAAGCAACAAAAGGAGGTTTCCCCCGCCCAACAAAGCAATAGACATGGGCACCCCTTTTTGTTGGAACCGACTTAAAGCTTGCAGAAGGGGTACTGGGCAACACCCCCTCCAAAAGTTTGGTCAACAACGGGGTCATCCATGTCGATTTGAACGGGAAACCCTCCCCCCTCTCCCAAAACCCTGGTTTTCTTTGAATTTGAGGGGAATCCCCCCCAAGAAAAAAACAAAAAAGAAGCCACCACTGGAAAGCTGGGGAACTGCCACCGTGATGAGCGTCACGAAGAAGCCGTCCGGGAGCAAGTCCAACAGAGGCACGCCGCGAAAGGCTTTGCTGTCGCTGGCCACAAAAATACACGAGAAACCGGAGCAAGAGCACCAAGGGCCTAACCGGAAAACCCCCTCGAACAAAAATCGGGGAAAGAAAGCGGGGGGGGGGGGGAATGCTGGGTTTGACGTCCTCCCAAAAAAGGCATGGTTTGATGCTCGGAAAACAGCCATTGTTCAAAAAGTGACAACATGTTCAACAGGCCGACCCCCTCCACAAATGGGTGAGCGTGCATTCATGCTCAAAACGTCAAAAGCTCAAAAGCAGGACCAAAGTGCAACGAAGGGACACTTGTGCTGCGGCAAATGGCCTGGCCAATAGATGTTGCAGGTTTGAACCTGGCTGAACTTGGACAAAGCCAATCGGCACCCGCAGTCGTACATCACACCACAGGCAGGTGTAAAGAACAGGTAGAACCTTGGTTGCTCCAATCCCCTGAGCAAAAGGACCTTCATTATGTAAGTTTACTGGAAAGCTGTTGGGTCTGTAATCCGTTGACACCCTTTTTTCAAAGGAAAACCATGAGCAAACCCACCAGCACATTCTGTGTGTTTTTTGGGGTTCCCCCAGAAAAAAAAACAACTTTTGGGCACACCAGCCAGCCATGGAACAACAGGAAGATGGTGACCCAGGGTAGTGCTCGTGGACCGCTGGTGCTGCATTTCTGCTTCCCAAAGCGCAGCGCGCCGCCCACGTTCGAGAAGTACACGGTGGAGTATCCCTCCGCCGCCATATCCCATGGCTTGCCGAAGACGTGGACCTCCCTCACCTCGGTCGCTCGGGATTGATAGCGATTGCATGATCTCAATGACCTGGTGACCAAGGGAACCACCCTTACGAACACGAGGGGAAATGGGTGGGTACTTGCGGGGATCCACTGTGTTTACTTGCAGTTGACAGATAGGCCTGGTCATATGTCTGCAACCCAGGAGATGCAGAAAGCATCCTCAAACCGTAGTTCTCTCTAGAATGTCTGACAGAGCTCTTGAACAAACAGATCCGGCTGAGCATCACTGCCTTCGACGCCATGTCTCGCAAAACCAGCTTTGACATCCAGTGGCCATGGGGAAACAAAAAGGCATACTAAAGTACTAAAGGGGTTGATTTCAAGGGCCCTGCATAAGTGAAAAAAAGGGATCGCAAACCCACTGGGAGCTTTGGATGGTACTGGTACTTGCGCCTCTTTCAAAACTTCGGAGCTCGAGCCAAGAGACACATGAGGGTTTGTGTTGCCACCCACCCACTAACCAACGAACCAACAAACCAACCAACCAACCAACCAACCGACCAACCGACCAACCGACCAACCGACCACCGACCAACCGACCGACCGACCGACCGGCCAACCGACCAACCGACCAACCAGCCGACCCCGCACATTTGGAGGAGAACACCATCGTAGGGCGTACCTTTGGAAACCTGCAGATTACCACTTTTACCCACAGGCGGTCCATTTCCGATTTGGGGCACTCCATCTGCAAATTCCAACCAAGCGACACCTGCCAAAAGCCGGCCCTACATTCAAGAGCTGGCTTGTTACGCAGGTTTTAGTCTCCAAGGCGGCATTTTGGTACATTTGTTTGATGGGCCTGCCACCCCCTAACAAGAAAACGCCGCGCACTTAGTTGCACTGAGCGAGTCGCAAAGACAAAAGAAAGACAAATTTGTTTGCGCCACGGTTTACGCAGGTTTTCGTCTCGGCGCCATTTTGGTACCTTTGTTTGAGCCCACAGCCCCATGTTTTCCCCTCCTTGCACCTCAACTCGGAGCCTCGGAAGCTCCGCTCGCCCAAAAAACGCCCGAGGCGCGGCTTGCCAGGCGAGGGCCGGCTCCTCCTCGCGTCCCAAGACCGAAGCAGGTGGAGTCGGATGCGACTGACGCACCAGGCCACTGCCCTCGAAGGTCCACATGATCACCTGGGCCAAAGTTGGTTTGAAGTCCATCCTGAAAATGCTTTTTTTTTCCTTACTTTGAGACGCACCCATATGGGTGTGACTTTTTGAATTCCATCCAAAAAGTGGTCCCCAATTTCGTGAAGGGGAATTGGGCCATCAAATGTGGTCAGAATTTCAAGTGACCATTCCTCCAGGTGATTGGTTTGTGAAAATTCCCTTTGAAACCATCCAAATGGGGTTAGTTGGCATGAATTCCATCCAAGTGCCTGGAGTCTCCATGACCCAAAAATGGCTAGGGGGGGGTCAAAAGAGGCGAAAACGTATGGGTGTTTCTCGCAGGATGGAATTCAGGCCAACTAACCCCATTTGGATGGTTTCAAAGGGAAATTTCACAAACCAACCACCTCGCAAAATGGTCACTTGAAGTTCTGACCAAATTTGATGGCCCAATTCACCTTCACACCCAGGTGTGTCTCAAAATCGGGGACTACTTTTTGGATGGAATTAAAAGACCCACACCCATCGGAGTCTCCATGACCCTTTTAAAGATAGGATCATGACACCATTGTTTCAACGGGTCAGGGCCCCCGCCCCCTCGCCGTTGCGCACGTTCTGCAGGCCGTGCTTCTCCACCAGCTCTTTGGCATAGACCCCCGAGCGGAAGCCCACGGTGCCTGGGTTCTGTCCGGATTCCCATGGAAAAGAGACATCTGGCGATTTACAAACAATCAAGCAAAAAGCAAAAACAAACAAAC